AGGCCGCGGGCAAACGGGCGTCGCATTCTCCGGAGGAGGCCGCCCTGGCCTGGACTGCGAGCGGAGAGGGCCCTGGGGAGATCCGGAAGAGAGAGGTGGGCGGTGTGTATCGTGCAGAAGCCCACAGGCTGGCTTCCTCCCGCCGGAAAGCCACGTCCAGAGGAGGCCACAGAGCTCCTGGCCTCACGCAGGGTCTGGAAGGGAGGGGACGCGCTGGGCAGAGGTGCTGCCAGCAGCACAGCCTGAGCCCTCAGCCCCGGGCCACCGGCGTGAGTGGAGCCCAGGAAAGGCCTCTGGCTCTGGGCACCTGGCTTTGGGGACAGTTTAGCCCCCCCTCCCCGTTGTTGCCTCCAAGGTCTTCCAGTCCGCAGCATGTGGAACCCGTGGTGGGATTTAGGGAAGTGGTGGAGAGGCTCGAGAGAGGCCTGCAGACCTCCCCTCCTAACTGCCCTGACCCTGCTCGGCACACTCATAGCGGGGAACCCCCTGGCGGGGCCCTCCCTTAGCCCTGTGACCGCTGGCCTGGCCTTGCTGTCCTGAGTCATCGTCCCATGACTACCACCACCATCTTGGTGGGAATCCCCCATCCTGCCACCATCTCAGTGACAACAGGTGGGGGTGGGGAAGGGCCCCAGGACCTCGGGGGTGTATTTGGGGGACCCCAGAGCAAAATGAGCTCTCAGAGGCCAAGGCTGCCCTAAGCAGTCCACCTGTCCTGCCGTGGTCTGATGTCTCCCATTCCCTGCCAGGGACACTCAAGCCCCCACTCTCTGGAGCATGCTCTGGACACCCGAGAAAGAAGAGCGGACGCCTTAGCACAGTGTGAGGATACACAGGGCTGAGCAGCCCCAGCACCTTTCAGCAAGTGATCACCTCCTCTGGCCTTTTTGTCTTTCGAGGGTAGTGAGGAATAAACCCAGGGCCTTCACACTGAGCTACATATTTAGTGTTTGTTTGCTTTTTTAAAACAAGGTCTTACTGTGTAGTCCAGGCTGGCCTTGAACTGCACTGATCGGTGGTGCAAGTAGAGTTCATGCTGCTTGGGCGGAGATCCATTTGCAGCCCTCTAACGTATCTGAATATGTTAACCTATTTAAATAGAAAGTTAACAGGAGAGATACAGAGAAAAATGTGCCCCAGGTGGCAGAAGGCTACCTCCACCCCCACACCCCCAGCTATGACAGCAGCATTGATCCTCCTGCCTCAGCTTCCAGGGTGCTGGGATCACAGGTGTGCACCACCACACCTGGCTCAGTTTGGTTTGGTTTGGTTTGGTTTCGTTTTTTGAGACAGTATCTCAGGCTGGGCTGGAATTTTCCATCCTCTTCCCTCATCCTCCCAGAGTGCTGAGATTTCAGGCATGCACAACCACACCCATCTCTCCTCATCTTTGAAATGGGTCAAGAGTAGGAGGACTTGTAGCACTGATAGTTTAGTGGGGCTGAGAAGTTTATTTCCCTCAGCCCCGTGGAGCCTGGGCAGCACCCAGGGCCCCCTTCCCTAGCCTCCTTCACCCTCTGAGCTTAGAAGCCATCCTGGGACCATTCTGCGTAACCTCAGACCAAGGCACCTTCGCCCTACTTTCTCTCTGCAAGGATTGCAGTGTTCATTTTCTGTCACCCCAGCACCATTTCCCTGTAATCTTCAATAAGTCCAGCTCAAGGGGAGGTTCAACATGAGTTCAAGGTAGGCCTGCATTATGAAGTGAGGCCCTATCTCAAAATAAAATAAATTGGGCCAGGGATTTAGCTCAGTGGTTCCACCACCTGCCTCGCAAGCACAAGGACCTGAGTTCGATCCCCGGTACCAAAAAATAAAATAAAATAA